AAAGAATAAGAATAAGAATCGCCTGCCCTCAACAGAGTTAACTCTCCGGCTGTGGTCACACACACTCAATAATCCACTTTCAATCCACTTTCAAACGCACTTTCCAACTGGATTTTGCCAGTTTACACAGTAAAATCCAGTTGGAAGGAAGCAATCCCAAAGCAGTGACTACTACAGAGAAGCAACAGGCAGCTTCCAGTGCAGATGATCACTTATGCTGCGTCTCTGGACTGGAAGGCAATAAGAACAAATGAAAAGCACCAGTGGAGTCCAATTGGAAGGGGTCCAGACTAGAACAGTGAATCATGCAGTGATACATCGGGCAGACTCCTCTCTGGGTGGGGCTTTGGGCCCACTGGAACCTTTCATTTCTGAATGTATTTCTTGTAGCCCTCAAGCAGCTCTCTCTCAGCAGACAGTTTGAGAATTAGCAAGCTAAACCTCACAGAGGGAGAGCCGGGGGAGGGGGGGTGTCTGTTCTCCACCTGCAGGAATTCATGGCACTCTTTCTTCCATTGCAGGCTTTACGTCCTGTGTCGGTGTCATCCGATACTGTGTGTACGTGTTCTCGCAGCATCAGTATGAGGTATTTTCTCTGCTTACGACTGTTGCGCATTCTCCTTGTGTCTCAACCATCTTGTACTTCACAAAACAGGTTTGGGAAGCAGGTGAAGGCCTTTAAGGGGGGAACCAAAGTGTGATTTGTGGTTTCTCAGGAGGAGAGCTACGGAGCCAGCATGGTGTAGAGGCATGAGAGTTTGGACTAGGATCTGGGAGTAAAAGGTAAAGGTAAAGGTTCCCTTGCTCGAAAGCCAGTCGAATCCAACTCTAGGGTTGCGGTGCTCATCTCCGTTTCAAAGCCGAAGAGCCAGCGCTGTCCGAAGATGTTTCCGTGGTCATGTGGCCGGCATGACTAAACACCAAGGTGCACGGAACGCTGTTCCCTTCCCACCGAAGTGGTACCTATTGATCTACTTGCAATTTCTTGCTTTCGAACTACTAGGTTGGCAGGAGCTGGAACTAGAGATGGGAGCTCACTCTGTCATGCGGCACCCGGGTCTTGAACTGCTGAACTACTGACCTTCACAGCCTGCAGTTCAGCGTCTTAACCACTTGAGCCACCGCAGCTCCAGGATCTGGGAGACCCAGGTTCAAATCCTCACTTGTGCCATGGAAGCTCACTGGCTTGATCTCAGGCCAGTCACACACACACGCTCTCTCTCTCTTTTTAAAAACTTTTATTTTATTTTCACTAATATATAAGACATTTTAGGAAGGGAAGGACATGCGGAAGGGAATAAGACATAAAGGAAAATTTCCCATCAAGCTTATATAATAGCGGTTATAACACAACTCCCCTTTGTTTCCATACCTCTTTCGTTTATATGATTTCTTAAGCTATAAACGATGAATCCATTATGGTTCCTGAAAAAGTACATATTCTTTACAGTTCAAATTAAATTTACCCTAAGTTTATGATAACTATAATCCATTATTCATGATCTTCCTTTTCACAGGTTCTTTTCACCCACTCATAAAATGGTGTCTCGGCCTGACCTACACCACAGGGTGGTTGTGAGGGTCAAACGGAGGAGAATGGTGTAAGCCGTGTTGGATCCCCACTGGGGAGAATGGCGGGGATGCGAACCCAGGTGTCTCGGATCCTAGCCTAACACTCCAGCCACTACACCACGCTGGCTCTTTCATCTAGCAGGTACATTTGAGGTGCCAAAGTGAGAGGCAACATTACAGTTACATTACATTTCTTTTTCTCATGAACGAAACTGTTAGCAGACCTCTCCCCCCACATACCTTGATTACGATTGCATTGAGAGGGCAGGAGCCGGCTGAAACTGGATCAGGCCTCGAGGCTCCCAGTTGGTTTTCCCTGGGCT